GGAGGAAGGTTTGGGAGAGGAGAATGTCTGACTTGGATTTTTTTTTTTAAATTCAAGCTTGAGCATTGTTAGAAGAATAAGACTTTATTAAACTGGGGTTGTAATGACTAAAGAATGCAAGTAGCTGTAGACACGTCCACTTGCCCATGCACAGACACATAATCACAAACACGCATGATCATGAACAAATGCACCTTCAACTTAACCACTGGAACGAACAGATTTTCAAATTGTTAAATAAAGTATGATTATGACTACATGTGAATGCGTTGTTTAGACACAGGGTGTTGCTGCAGCCCAGGACTGGTTTTCCACTTAGACAAGGTTATTGATTTTGACACTGGTTCAGGAAGTTTTGATCATATCTCTGACTTCAGATCACCCTACCGCCTGACTAATTTCTTCCTTGTATCTGTCCTCAATCCAGATGTGTTACTACATAAAAGTAAATACTCAGCTGGACACTGTGGTTCATATCTAATCCTAGCTATTCAGGAGGCTGAGGTCTGAGGATCATGGATCAAAGCCAGACCAGCAGGAAAGTCTGTGACTCTTCTCTCCAATTAACAGTAAAAAGCCAGAAGTGAAGTTGTGGCTCAAATGGTAGAGTGCTAGCCTTGAGCAGAAAAGCTCAGGGATGATGCCAAGGCCCTGAGTTCAAGATCCAGGACTAGCACCACAAGCAAACAAACAAATGCTCTGGGAAAGGGGTTATATTTTAGAGCTAGATCTAGTGCTAATGATCTGATATTATAAGGATCTGAGCCAGATAGAAGTAATATGAAACTCTTAAGAGAATAGATACAAAGCACGACAATACAGTGGAAATAGCATCCATGTTGGAATCAAAAGTTCCAGATTAAAAAGTGATTCTGAAGTACTACTGCTTGACAAACATGCATGTGCAGACATGTAAATCTATCTTGGTTTTTGCTCATAGAATTAATGATGTCACCATTCTTCATTTATTCAGTAAGCATGTAACAAACACTTCTGCCAAGCACTGAGCACCAGTACTGGTTACTAAATAAACATGATGATGAAGAAATAAGATCTTTGCATTGGTGGCTCACACCTGTAATCCTAGATATTCAGGAGGCTGAGATCTGCGGATTGCAGTTCGAATCCAGCCTGGGCAGGAAAGTCTGTAAGACTCTTTACCCCCAAGTAACCACCAGAAAACCAGAAATGGAGCTGTGGCTCAAAGTGGTAGAGTGCTAGTCTTGAGCAAAAGAGCTCAGGGACAGTGCCTAGGCTGAGTTCAAGCCCCATGACTAGAAATGTGTATATATATATATATATATATATATATATATTACTTTTTTTTCTTTCTTGGTACTGGGGTTTGAACTCAGAGTCTCATGCTTGCTAGACAGGTGCTCTATTGCTGAGCCATGCCTCTAGCTCTATTTCTTGCTGGTTAATTTTGAGATAGGGTTTTGTTTCCTACCAGAGTATAGAGCTAAATCCACCATTCACCTAGTTTAGGCTTCCTGTCATAGCTAGGATAGCCAGTGTGTGCTATTGAGATGGAGTTTCATGCATTTTCTGCTGGAAATGGCCTTGAACCACAATCCTCTCAATCTCAGTCCACCCAGCACCTAGGATTGAGCTATACTTACTGGCAGAAATTTCTGCCAGTAAGACCTTGAAAGAGGTAGAGAATGTTGAGCAGACACAGAATTGATAGTATTTAATGATAAGTTAGAAGGAGATACTTTTTTCTTTTTTTGGTTGGTCGTGGGGCTTGAACTCGGCTTGGGCGCTGTCCTTGCGCTCTTCAACTCAAGGCAAACACTCTACCACTTGAGCCACAGCACCACTTCCAGTTTTCTAGTGATTTAATGGAGATAAGAGTCTCACAGACTTTCCTGCTGGGGCTGGCTTTGAACCATGATCCTTAGATCTCAGCCTCCTGAGTAGCTAGGATTACAGGTGTGAGCCACCGGCGCCTGGCTTTCTTTTCTTTTTTGTGCAGGCCCTTAAGTTTGAACTCAGGACTTGGGTGCTGTCCCTGAGCTTTTCTTGTGCAGAACTAGTACTGTATCACTTGAGCCACAGCTCCACTTCTGGCTTTTTGTTGGTTAATTGAAGATAAGAGTATCATGGGTTTTCTGTCCTGAACCTCAAAGCATGATTTTCTGATCTCAGTGTCCTGAGAGGATTACAGGCATGTACCACCAGTGCCCTGCTGGACACAGGTTTTAGGGAATGATTCTAGAGTAGATTTGAGAGACTAGCATCTGATTGCATTATTTCCTGAAACAATGACTACCAAAGGAAATGCACTTATCTAGGTCTTCTGAACAAACTGACAAAATGAAGTAATAAAGAATACATTGGGCCAGGTGCCAGTGGCTCGTGCCTATATCCTGGTTCCTTCTGGCCAGGGTAGATGATAATAACTGAGTTATTTTTTCCAGTGGAAAAATACCTGTGTGTGTGTGTAGTATAGTGCTGGGAATTGAACTCTGTGCCTTGTGCTTTCTAGTCAGGAACATTATCACTTGAGCAATAACTCCAGTCCATTTTTGTGGTGATTATTTTCAAGGTAGGATCCCACTTACGCCCAGGTGAATCTGGGTACCCATCTTCCTACTTGTTTGGAGGAGTTACTGGGGCTTTAACTTAGCTCTTACTGGGCTTTTTTGCTCAAGGCTGGCCCTCTACCATTTGAGCCACACCTCCATGTTGGCATGTTACTGGTTAACTCTTAATGAGAGGCTCAAGGATTTTTCTGACCTAGCTGACCTGGAACCATGATTTTTAAAGCCCAATCTCCTGTACTCAGATCAATCTCCTGTACTAGATTGAGATATCTGCCACTAGCGCGTGGTGATGCCTGTTTTTTTTTTTCAATTGATAGGTATAAATATGTATTTCCAAAGCCACAGAGCTCATCAGAAGAAAGGAACAGAGAGGTCTGTGTCACTGGATGGGAGGCAGAGTAAGCACAAGAGGTGCAACCCTGAGTGGGCAAGATCAGAATAGCTATAGCATTTCCTGGGCACTCAGTATGTGCCAGGTGAAGTTCTAATGCCTCCTATTTATCAACGCATCCCATCCCTACAAAAATACTGGTATAAGACAGGCATTGCACCAGGGAAGGGAAATGAAGAAGTGACATGTCTCAGATTCCACAGAGCCATCACAGAGCCTGGATTCTATAGAATTACATCCGCTTAGTCACTGACTTCCTCTGGTTAAAGGGAGAACATTTCCTGCCACAAAGAAGTGAGTCAAAAAGCAGCTGAAATGTGACACACATATTTAAACTGAGGTGCTTATCATGTGCTATAACCACAGTTGTAAGGCACTTATCACTTAAATTGGGGGTAATTTAACAAGTGGAAATTGAAGTTTATACGAATTTTATTTTATTTGCTGGTGATGGGGCCTGGGCGCTGTCCCTCAGCTCTTCAGCTCAAGGCTAGCGCTCTACCACTTGAACCACAGCACTACTTCCAGCTTTTTCTGCTTTTGTGGTGCTGATGAATGGCCTCATGCATGCAAGGCAAGCACTCTACCACTGAGCCACCTTCCCAGCCCTATAAGAATTTTTATAAATAATGTGTAAGCAGAGGAGCTGGGACTTTTGAATCAACTTCATGACACATTGTGTGTGTGTGTGTGTGTGTGTGTTGGTACTGGGGCTTGAACTCAGGGCCTGAGCCCTGTGCCTTTAGCTTTTTAGCGCAAGGCTGGTGTTCTACAACCTGAGCTACAGCTTCACTTTCAGATTTCTGGTGGTTAACTGTAGATAAGAGCCTCACAGATTTTCCTGCCCGGGCTGGCTTCCACCTCGGATCCTCAGATCTCAGCCTCCTGAGCAGCTAGGATTACAGGCATGAGCCACAGGCGCCCGTCTATTGATAACACTGAACCTCCGACGAAGATGGCACAAGGACTACTGTACCCGCAGGGGCATGTTTCTCTCCTCCCTCAGCTGCGTGCCCTACGACAGGTGTGCCCACCAAGCGAGCCTGCAGTCCAAGCTTCATGGCACCAGACCGACGTGTGTAACATCTCTGCAAACGCAAGCACATGAATTGCGGGTTTGCCGGAGAGGTCGGGCGGGCGGGCGG